TCGGAGGAACTTCATCGGTGCCACTTTCCGCCCTCCTCCTCTTGGTCGCAACCCCGGAGGACTCCACCGAAGCATCGCCATCAGCCCTACGCCTCTCCTCGGCAGTTCTCCTCCTCAGAGGTTGGGCGTCCTCGGCATCATCAGCATAACCATCTCCAGTCTCTTCACAGATAACTTCAGTCCGACCTACAGATGGCGAAGGGTTTGAGCTTGAAACTGCCGAAAGAGATACTGCATAGGAGGGTATAACGAATCGAGAGCGACCTAAAAACAGACATCAGCTATAGAACACTTCCAAAAACAGTAAACATATTCGCACAACTTACCAGGTCGCAGAGCTGGGATCGGCATCAGCGGTGGAACAAACGGAGAAAGAGTAAAGACTGAGGGCGGAACCACAGGAGTTGATGCCGGTCTCGAGCGTGACGAAGACGGAAACGTTGTTGCAGACGGCTTTGTCCGCAATACAGAGGCCCGCGGTGACACAACCGGTCTCGGGCGTGACGAGAACGGAGCCCTAACAATGGGCTGCCTTGGCTGCGGCACAGAACCCTTGGATGCGCCACTAACGAGGTGCCGCAAGAGGAAGTAGGAGGCCGTGGCCAACCTGCGATCAATATATGTTTAAATAAAAAGAGAAAAAAAGTAGATCTTTTTACCAGACGCAATCGAAGAGAATGTCGTAGCCACCTGTTCGGCAGTAAAATCCGTCCACATGCGCCTCAGCACCGACCTGAGCTTGTCGAGAACTGCGTCATAGCTTCTTATCTTGACTCCACCTCGGTGCGGAACTAAAAAAAACACTCATCAGACCAAGCAAAACCTGAAGCGGTCAACCTTACCAGGAGAAAATTTCACGTCAGCTTGATAATCCCGACCTGGGACGAGGCCGGCAGCTTCGTTGGCCCGCACATAGAAGTAGTTACGCTCCCAGTCGCCAACCTTACTCGGCTTGTCAGAGGTAATACCCAACCCCGGCCTGAAGGAAGCATAGTAAGTGCCCGATATGGCATAATTGTTTTTGTGAAGGGTGAGATCTTCGAAAAGAGCACACGTCACCTCAACACCGCTCTCCGACCCCAAAGTTAGTAGCACGACCATATTCTGTATCGTCGTCGGGCAGATCTGCGAGAACGCCAACTCTCGCCTCTTGCAGTACGAGACAAAAAGATCAGGGATAGGGAACCGTAGCCCGCACTTCGTAAAAAAAGCCTCGCATAGGCATAGGGTCAATCCTCCTCGGCGAGAATCCGAATCTCGACATCTGAGGGAAACCCGCACTCAAAAATCATAGTCGGCACGGACTTCGAATCGCTCCAGGTCTTCAATCCTCGAGGTTTTTGAGCTTTGGATCTTCAAGGTTTTGGGTTCTGGACACCACTGTGATCCCGGCCGCCGGGCTCACCTCGATCAACGCCACGACCACCGGCTGCCGAAGTCCCGATCTTAGACACCTTCCGGCCAACCCGGTTGATCAGCGGAAGATGGTCCGTTTTCGTTTTCTTCCTCATGATGAGGAGAGTTCGTATGTTCAGAACTAGCCACCTGCGAAGATCTTTCCGGGAGCACCTCACCGTGATTCTCACGAGAACCAGATTCGGTTTCAGACTCAACCGAAATCCCATCGAAAAGATCCACCATTGCAAAGCACGAAGGACCAAAAATGGAAAGAAAAGGAAAATGAGAGGCGAAATCGAAAAATAGGAGAAAAGAAGAAGAAGAATTTCTGCAGTTCTGTCTCGGAAAAGCAAAAGTAAGAAGAAAGAAGGGGAAGAAGATTTAAATAGAAAAGGATGAAGGAAAAACGACCAATCGAGACAGAAACAGTTGATACTTGGCAAAACCCTAATGATGATGCCGCTTTGATGCCGTTCTCGAGAAGCGCAAAAATAAAAAGCAGCGAAAACGTCCCTTCATGTCTGCATGTGCCAACCACGCGCAGGAGTCCCAAGAGTTTCCACAGGAAATTTACGTCTTTTCCCGCCTAATGCTGGAACCAGAGGAGTCTGCCTTAAACTTCATCATAACACCGACTTGTGATGGGCCGAGTTAATCAAAACCACGGACTTCAGCGCATTCGACACCCTCTCATATACCAAACTGGGAGGGGGGGGGGCTATTGTTGGAGGTGGGCTTAGCACCCCCAATTAGCTAGGCCCATCTTGAATGATAAGGCCCATTGACCTAGTCAACAAAGAGTCAAACCAAAGTCAACGAATCGAGTCAGTGTGGCCCCGCCTAACTGTTATCATCACGACGCCGATCTACACTGGACGGAACCGAGCAGAATCTGACACGTGTAGAAGCAAATCGCCTACAGTGACCTATCTGCACGGATAGCTCGGCGATAAGCTCATCATCATTCGCCGCGGAGTGGTTCGAACATGCGGCTCGAGATGCCATACCTGCGAGATGCGCTGAAGCTCCCACGCCATCCCGATTTGGAAGAAACTTGCTTTCCAACCTCCGCTGTAAATACTTCCCACAGATTATTTATGAGGGGGATCCAAAATTTATTACTCTCTTCCTATATAAAAACTCTCTCTCTAAGACCGAGCTCTTTGTAACAGTGTTTAGAACACTAAACTGAATTCTCCTGAGACCTAGTTCAAAATTCTAAACATCTTTTCATCAATACACAACATACGGTTGCGACCTTCCTTCATATTACAGAAATCTCACCCCATTGTCACTCTTAATCATCTTTAACATATCTAAAACACATTTAGTGATCTCAAGAATCAACAGTGTCTTCACAAACTCTTCCAATAGATTCTTGCTTGTTCCTTTTGACTGTTGGCTATATGGAAACATTCTACTAATTATTTGAATTATTTTATACAAGAACTTTCATATAGCATATTATCATTTTCTTGATTTCACTCATGAGTTGAGTTTTGCAATAAATAGCTTTTAAAATATAATTTTGAACACATAATTCTATTTTTGCTCGTTTTTTTTTATATTTGGCTCTATAGAAAGCTTGTACAAAAGTTTTGAATGGTTTCATACATGAAATTTCATAAACCATACTATCATTTTTTTCAATTTACTCATGAGTTGAGTTTTGCATTAAGTAGCTTTTTAAAATATATTTTAGATCATCTGATTTTATTTTTGCTTTTTCCTTTTGATTTTTGGCTCTAAAAAAAAGCTTCTACTCATTGTTTGAATGGCTTTATATAAGAAATTCATTATAACATACTATCATTTTTTCGATTTCACTCATGAGTTAAGTTTTGCATTAAATAGCTTTTTGAAATATAATTTTTGTCATATAATTTAATTTTTGATTGTTATTTTAATTTTTGGTTCTAGGAAACCTTCTACTAATTGTTCAAATTGTTTTATACAATATTTTTCATATACCATAGTATCACTTTCTCCATTTTACTCATGAGTTTGAGATTTTTATTAAATAGATTTTTAAAATATAATGTTGGTCATATAATTTAATTTTTGCTCGTTTTTTTTTATTTTTGGCTTTATGGAAATCTTCTACAAATTGTTTGAACGGTTTTATACAAGAGCTTTTATGTATTATTAGGCTTGTACCCGCGCATACACGCAGGTTTTATTTGACATAATATTTTATAAATATATTTATATTGATATAGAGATGCGTAATTAATTATAAGAATATTATAATTTGCTTGATTGTGTGGTATTAGTTTTTTAAAAACAAAATTTTTATTAAACAAATATTTTTTTTTAGGATTAGAAGTAGGGTAAGTAGAAAAATTATACCATTTTAGAAATCATAAACATGATATGAATAAAAAAAACATAGATAGAAGCCATATTTTTTGGGTTGAATTGCTTGAAAACATATAATTAAGACTTAAGTTCTGGTGAGCTTAGAGAAAACCTACAGAATAATGAAATTGTGTTTTTAAACACGATTTCGCAGGTTTTCGCAACCTCTTCAAACCGACTTAACATATTTCTAGAGCAAGTCTCAAGATCATGAAATCCATTTTTTTTTCTTTTTAGTGAGATTGGATTTTTTTAGCAGATTATCAAGACTAAAAAATTGAAAATATATGATATTCGGAACAAAACACATCAAATATCACATATAGCCAAAATGGTGGGTATTTGCCTTTTACCTACTCAATATCTAGCAAAAATTAACATTCTCGAAAACATCTATGTTAATTCTCATCCATATCTCTACAGGAACATCACCAACTGGTTTTTGGATTCTAATTTTCTCAACTTGTCCTAAGATTCTTTATTTATTCTATCATTAGTTGATTATTGCTTTGATTGGTTGGCGGAATAATGGAAAAAAATTTGCGAAATAAATTAATCTACGTATAAATTGCTTTTCTGCAGAATGACTTTTTATATTTTTTAAGTGAAACAGCAGTCTGCGTTTTGTGTGTATTTTATCATTCCGCAAATTTTTGTTGAATAACAAAAATCTTGCGGAATCGTATTTAAAACACAATTCTACTATTCTATAAGTTACCAATCAGAGCCTACAAACCTAGTTGAATACCTCAAAGAAAGTATGGATAATTTCTTCCAGTCCATTTATTTACGGTAAGCATCCATTCCTTGAAATTCCAAAGCTCATGCTCGATCGCAGCTAGCATATGATGTTCTTAACAGAATAAGAATAGCATCAAATCATCGTCATTAACATGACCTGCCACTTTACCTTCAAGCCACCAAGCTTTAGGATTTTTCATCGCAAAAAGGGGTTGAGCCTTTTAACCATGGGACTAATTGATTCGATTATCGGATTCTTGCTTCCGACGAGCCTCTACAGAACCACTTAACAAATAAACATCTCCTTCAAATACGTGGCAATAGGTAAAATGTTCGAATCAAGTGGCGCGGACGTCGCTGGTCCATTTACTTACTTCCAAAGCATTAAAAAACCAAAAAAACAAAATTTAGAAAGAAATTGAAATCTCTCAGATTTTGCGTCCCTAAAATTAGTAATTAGAAAGATATTAAAAAAATGAAGAACTAATAAGAAAGAAGAAGACTACAACAAGTTCACTAGAGTCCATTTTTTTTACTCCCAAAAAGCAAGAGCTTCATTTGGTTTCTCATCAGATCTGCTCGCTTCTCTGTTCGATTCTCATAACCTTTGGATCTTCTTCTCTTGAAATTTGATTTCATCTCCATCGGATATTGGTCACTGGGTTTGAAAAATCCATGAAGGAATCGGATCTGACCACCGAACCAATCGCCCAGAACCTCATCAAGCTAATCAGCAATGTCTGTTTCTCAGTCTTCGTCTTCTCCGTTCTCATTTTCACAGTAATCGCCGTCACTTACCAACCACCAGATCCATGGCTCGAATCCGCTCCAGCGCTTACAAAACTCCTCACGGGAACCGAAAACGCAACTTTCAGAATCGACGGCTCTATCCTCAACACCGGTGAAGACATCGCTTCTTCTCCGGTATCAGCTCCGGCGAACTCCACCGGAACCGTTACCCAGGCGACGATTGAGCTTTCCGAGGAGAAAATCGGGAACATGACGGTGAATTCATCTTCTGTTGATTGTGACGATCTGAAAGTCGTAAATTGCTCGGATCCGAGAGTGTTGGTCGCTGTTCAGAGGTTTAATCTAAGAGTTTTCAAATCAATTGTGTTCTTAGAGTATGAAACTCCGGTTAACGGTTCGAATCCAGACGAATGCGATGTTTCTTGGAGGTTTAGGAACAAAAAGGAGAAATCTTGGAGGAGATATAGAGATTTCAGGAGGTTTAAGTTTGCATTCGGTGAGAATTGTACTTACAAAGTGTTTCACACTAGTGGTTGGCACTCTGGTGTCAATGCTCGTAGGTTTAGGATGAAGCCTAGAGGAGGAGGAGGAGGTCCAAAAGTTGCTCGTGGCGGCGATCCCGAGATCAACGATACGATCCCGACGCTTGGCTCGCAGACGAATTTCAGGAGAGGGAAGTATTTGTATTACTCGAGAGGAGGTGATTATTGCAAGGGTATGAATCAGTATATGTGGAGTTTCTTGTGTGGATTAGGTGAAGCAATGTACTTGAACCGGACTTTCGTGATGGATTTGAGTTTGTGTTTGTCTTCAAGTTATAGCTCCAAGGGGAAAGACGAGGAAGGTAAGGACTTTCGGTATTATTTCGATTTCGAGCATCTTAAAGAAACGGCTTCTATTGTTGAAGAAGGAGAGTTTGTAAGAGATTGGAAGAAATGGAATCGGTCTCATAAACGTAAAGTTCCTGTTAGGAAGGTTAAGACGCATAAAGTTTCTCCTTTGCAGCTTAGTAAAGATAAGAGCACTATTATATGGAGACAGTTTGATGCTCCTGAGCCTGAAAACTATTGGTATAGAGTATGCGAAGGGCAAGCCTCGAAGTACGTTGAGAGGCCATGGCATACACTGTGGAAATCTAAGAGGCTGATGAACATTGTCTCGGAGATTAGCGGTAAAATGGACTGGGACTTTGATGCGGTTCATGTTGTTAGAGGCGAGAAAGCAAAGGACAAGAAGCTCTGGCCACATTTGGATGCAGATACATGGCCTGATGCGATTCTGAGTAAGCTTAAAGGATTGGTTCAACAGTGGAGGAATTTGTATGTTGCTACTAATGAACCGTTCTATAATTACTTCGACAAGTTGAGGTCTCAGTATAAGGTTCATTTACTTGATGATTATAGCTACTTGTGGGGAAACAAGAGTGAGTGGTTCAATGAGACAAGTCTGTTGAACAATGGGAAACCGGTTGAGTTTGATGGGTACATGAGAGTAGCTGTTGATACAGAGGTGTTTTATAGAGGAAAGACTCGTGTTGAAACGTTCTATAACCTTACAATGGATTGCAAAGATGGGATCAATACATGCTGAAATTGATCTGTTTCAGGTTATGATAATGTTCTCTTTATAGCTTTTTGTACCAACCATTTTATTTTGTATTTGTTTGTTTTTGTATTGAAATCAATTATGCTTTTGTTGTTACCTTGTGTTCTAATAGCAACTGATGTTATTGGTGGGGGGAGGAGTGTACGTAACGTTTACATCTTTTATACAGTTTATTAAATCTAGTAAGAGGGCAACATTAATTACCGGTTCTTGAGATTTGATATACATGGTTAGTCTCTTAAATCGTGGTATATCGTTCTGTTTGCTGTACACTTCTACGATTGTAGCCTGATTCTTTGCTAACTAGAACCTGATTTAGGTTTTGATTGTTTCTGGTCCTGCTTTTACATAGTTCTATTTTATCCACCATAACAATGTATGTACATATGTATTATCAGCTTCTGCAAGCAACATATGAGAAGATAAGGGAAAGTTTCTGAGACAAGATATTCAAACAGTGTATAATTATGTCTGCTTTTGGTTCTACCAGAGTTATTAATTGAAATTGAGATATGCAAAAAAAAAAAATGTAGTATTGGATCCTATCCATGTATGGTGTAGTCGTTTGTAGTTCATAATCGGATCTTTATAAATTTACAACATGTATAAAGCATATGGCAACATGTTTAAGCATATGGTTGGACTATTGGTTGACCAAAAAGAATTTGGGTTTGGTTCAGTTTAATCGAGCTTTTTTAAAAATCGGGTGTTTTTGATGTACATGTTGAATAAGTAAAACATAATAATGCATATATATAAAATATAAAATAGCAACAATATGAGAAGTAATCATACTATTAGTAGTTTATAATTATTTGTTTGACTGGTTTAAACGCTGCAATTGCAGTTACGAGTGTAAGAGTTTGCGAAAGTAAACGATTGCAGTTTCGAGTGTTATTTAGCGATTCTATTTGCGTGATATTTTTTACTGGCTAACTAACGAATGTATTAATGGTTTAACATAAAAGTTACCAAAATAAAATATAATATATAATTATAAAAAAACACAAAATTATACTGTTATACTAAATTAATACTGAATAATTATACAAAAATTAATTAATTTTATAGTGACATGTAATATTTTAATTGTTAGATACATCATCCAAAATTGTGTCCAGTAATGTAACTAACTAAAAATAATTTGCTCCAATACGTGGATCTTCAGGATTTGTCCTATGCATAATGTAAAATTTCTTTAATAGATCCAATTTATCCAAAATATTATTGCACTTACGCTTGTATAAAATAAAAAAAAGAAAATAATTATGCATGAAGAAATTAGGTATCAACATTAGAAGGTATCTCCAAGTTAGGTATCTATTGTTTTACTATAAATAAAAGATTAGGGTATTTGCATAAACCAAACTAAATCATGTAATCAAATTTGAAAGAAAAACATGTGTCTTTATAAGTTTTGAGTATTCATTATAAATAAAATATTTCTTTTTGTATAATCATCTCTTCTATTCTTTTAAAATACTCTTGATCTTAATAAATTTTCTTTGTGATTGTATCCAATATGTGTTTGTAAATTTGGATTCAGATGTAATTCTTTTCGGTTAAATTTGAGTATCGGTCTAATTTTGTTATAAACCGGTCTAATATTGGTATAATCCGGTTATTAAATACAATTAATGGAGAAAGAGATCGGAGCAGATACCAAATTGAACAATTGCCGATTAGTTGAGCCGAGAGAACCGAAATCGAAACAAAAATGAAAATCCCAATTCGTTTTTCTCGGTTCGGTTACTAAAATTTTCAAACCTGCAATCCGAATCGTCCCGTTTCCCGTTCCAAACCATTTGGGGTTTAGTCGCGGAATAAAACTATTCTCAATAAATTAGACTAATTTTTGTAATTAAAGGTGTTCATTTAAAATTCAAGGTGTAAAGTAGCGGGAGAAGCTTGTTGGGGAAGGAGATGGAGAAGAAGAAGATAGAGAGTCGTCTCAAGCTGGTGAAAATCAAAGACGCCATTAATCTTATTAACCAAGAAGTTAATCTCCTTGGTATCGTTATCGAACGAAGAGACCACAAACGATGTCGCAACAATAGTATTGTCGAAAAACCCAAAATCTCGTTTTTTTTTTTCTCTCAGATTTGGGTTTTTTTTTTTTCTTCCTGTATCTATCATCAAAATTGATAATCTGCAATATCTTCTGATTAAGAGTTCGAAATTTACTTTGTGTCAGATTGGATCTGTACTCTCCGGATAATCGATGATTCTTACCATAGCCCTGGACTTACGGTTAATGTATTTAATAACAATCTTGAAGAACTTCCTTATATCAAGAACCACAACGACATGATTCTGTTTATACGCGTTAAGGTACAAGAATCTTGGTTTTTTTTTTGTAGGACACTTTTTCTTCATTTATTTATTTATTAATTTTGTTTTTGTTTGTGTAGATGACATTTTTCGATGCTGGAAAAGCAGTAACTGCTCTTTGTAATAAACGGGTTTCTTCCTTTGCACTGTATGAAGGAATAACCGAGGAGGAATTTGTATGTTACCAATGTACTTCGAATTTTCGTGACGAAGAACGATACAAGAGTTCCATTTATAATCTAGGCAAATTGTTTGCCAGTACTAGTACCAGAGATCTAGGTAAACATCTTATTTTCAATGATCTATAGAGTCTTAAAAACTCGTCTAAGATGCGCCGGAACTTTTAATGGCTTTAGATAAATAGGTTCGTAAGATGGTAGCTAAGAAGAAGTAAACAGAAACAAACATTGTGTTACATTTTATGAGTTAATAGGTTATTTGAGGAATGTTGATAATTCAACCTCCTTCAAGAATACATGTATAACTGTGAATGATGCTCATACGCTTTGCATCTCTACTTGTGGTTTCTTAGCTTTGCAGAGTTCATCTTACAGAATAAAAGCTCAGACTCTTAAAAAGTTTTCGTTTTTGAGAGAGATCAAGAAAGGAAAACACTTTGATTTGGTGTGCAAGGTAACATGACTTACTCTTTCATACCTTTTGCCCAATAGTCTCAATCAACATGAAACGATTACTTTTAACTGAGCATACCCTGTTTTCTACTTTTTTTTTTCTTGTAATTGAGATCCTCCATGTCAATGACGATACACGCACCATTTTTGTTTGGGATGGAACCGATGCACCTCCAGCATCTATTCTTGCAAAGTGAGTTTCTTATCCGGAAAAAGATAAAAAAAATCATTGGATTTGTTGAGTTCTGAGTTGTTTCATTCATTTAGGCAGATCGATATTATGCTTATTCTTCTTTATTTGGTGTACAATGTTGACTATTAACAGTGGGATTGATAGAGAAGACAAGGCATTTAGCAGTATCTCGGTTAACACTCTTCTCTCGAGAGATATATTGCTCGGCTTTCCCACAGTTGGAACTATCTTGAGAGTTTCTCTAAGCAGTCATCTATTTCATTGGGTTAAACCTGGTCAATGGGTGAAACTATACCGGTTACTCTGTGAAGTTGATAAGGGATCTTGGATAGGTAAATTTACAGACTCTACAACGGTCAGGCTCGCACAAGATGATCGTTTAGTAGAAAAGATTATGAGGTTAGTCACTTTTCGTCTCTCGAGATAATCTGACCTTTCTGCCTACCATAATAATCTCAGTGCTTATTTTTTTCTATCTTATGTTCACAACAAATAGGATATATGATAAGAGAATATCATCAAAGTTTGGACACATTCCGTTTTGGAGTTTTCCATCTCCTTCTAGATTAACAGGTTGCAATGCTTCATCATTCTTTTTTCATGATAAAAATTCACATATTTTTTTTAGTGATGATGATTTTGTTTTGCTCCCTAACAGTCTCCGTATCTTGCAGAGGCAGATGATGATCAAGCCCCATTTGTTACACTCATGGACATTATAACATTCCCCAAGGTTCCATACGGGTTCTTTACATTGTCATATTTTGTAAAATGACTCATTGTTACTTGTATTTTTATTACAGGTTACATACAAATACAAATGCATTGTTCGAGTTGTAGCTGCATATCCTTGGCAAGTTGAGAAATTTTCTTCAGATGAGAACCGTAGTTACCGAGTTTTGTTGACCCTGGAGGATCCAACAGCGACTTTAGAAGCTTTCTTATGCGATAAAGACGCAGTAAAAGAGCAAGACTCCATTTTGGTTTATGCATCTAAAACAGTGAACAGAGATTATCTGTAAACTCTAAAACTAGAGTTTGTTTGATTGGCAGGAGTACTTTTGGGGTTTAGAGTTTCAGAACATAGAGATGTTAAGGAAGAAGTGGAATCGGTTGCTGGGAATAAGAAGGGAAAGCTCGATGTCTTTGGCTTCAACTCCAAGGAACCCACCATGGATCGAATGTTGTATCCTCTCCTACTATACCAATAAAGCTGACCCTTGGAATACCAGATTATACAGAATCTTTGGTACTCGTCTTCTTGATTAACCAAAGCTTGTTTGAGTTTGTCAATGACTAAAAAAGTTAAGTATTTAGAGATTTTTTATTATGTTTATCAATGTGGGATGTGGCTTGAATAGATATTGGTATACACAACCTTTAAGGAAACCAGTACTACAAAATAGGTCGGGAACAAGTATTTTTAGTAATGACAAACATAACCCAAAGTGCAGGAAATTTGGGTAATTGGATGGATGTGTTCGGATATCTAAAATCAATTCTCAAACTCTCCCTGATTTAACAAGAGATTCCAAATCCTTAGCCGTAATACCAATCTTCCAATCAATCCAAATGAGCATTGACGAGACTCCCAGCATTGACAAAGCATTTTGACATGATTGAGCATCGACCAACAGCCCCTAACACCGGTTTAGCATTCACCGACGGTTAGATATAAGTCACTAGCTTATAGTCTTGAGTAAGCTCTAGAATCAGGACGACCCACCGTATATTGATTCCTAATTCAAGTCAAATTCGAGCTTGCTGGTGTCTTTGTTCATACCTGGGATTGTTTCCAACTCATAGACACTTACAACTTGTCCAATAACATCTATTTAATATAAATAACGTCAGATCAATATGATAAAATAAGTGTGATTAACCGACTACATAAATAATTCAATAAAATCACTAATCAAAAAAACTTGTACTAGTTCCATCGTTCAAGATTGTACTAAAATCTGAAAACTAAAAAACCGATTGTCTGATCGATTAACACTTTTGCTGACAACGGTAGAGGCTATGAAAGACATCTTGAATTGATGCTAGATGGCCCGTTATTAACCTGATGGCTGGTTCAAAAATAACTTTCATTCACTGATAACCATCATCTGTTCAAAACAATGAATCAAATTTTTCTTGATAGTAACATGAATTTTAATACCTTATAAATAAAAAAATGTTTATAAGTTAACCACATATATTAAAATTTTCACATAAAATGTAATAGGATATATTGTATCATACTATTTCATCAGCGAGAATAATTTTCAAAGACTTTCCATTTTTGGTTTGGTATTGTTTCCAACTGTGAAGCACCTTATACTGAACCTTCCACCCCTTCTTGAAGAGCTTAACGTCAGCCAATGGTGCTAACTTCATGTTGAAAGCCATTGCAAAGATAATAAGTGAAAGAAAAGATAAGAAAGTTGTAATTGATCTGGAGTGAAATGGAAGATGGGATTGTCGTATTTATAGTGTAAAATGTAGGGTTTTTTTGCAATGTCATTAAGTTGTAAGTAAATTAGAGGCCAAGTATATTTGTTAAATTTAAATTAAACACAATATTGATGGCAAATAGCAGAAGAGATTATTTTTGTAAAGTTGTTATCAGAATAATAACATATTCTAATAGAGCGGCAAATCAATAGTTTTGAATAATAAGATATATTAATATTGTTGTAACGTCTCATAAATATTGTTTTGATATAAAATGGCAAAAATATTTTATATAATTCTTAGTAATTGAGCGGACTGTGTTATCCGAATATAATGTATTGATTAAATTTGGCAAAAAATATTTATTGGGATTAAATTTAATACAGAATATGAGTAAATTTAATTAAGATTTCATTTGAAGATATTCTCTTGCGAATAATTTATTTGATATTCATATTTATTGTGATATTTATCAGTTCTTCCTAATAGTAGAAGCTAAATATTTCTTAAACAATTACATGTTCCTTTTTTGAAAAGTTACCTCATCTTTCATATATCCGGGTTAAGGCTAAGATCTGCGTCTTTCTAAACGGGTCAACTTAAAAGAATGCGGATCATCTTTGGTTTTAAAATTTTTTTTGTTAGTAAAATACATATTTCTCTAATGGCATTTCTAGATGTTTTTAAATTAGAAATAAACTTGTACAATGTGTGGGGTAATGTTTTTTAAATTATCTTTAAATTGAATATTAATTTTTTGGTTACATCAAAATTGGTGGTAAAAATCGTTTAATAAAAATATGAATAAATAATATTGGTGACAATTAGATAACAATACATATATAAATGTTGGAAATATATTCAATCATTCCTTCGTGGACGAATCACGTGCTAGCACGTGGCATCCATGGCTTTTTTGCAGGTACCCCCCCCCGGTCAAATTAGGAGGCCCAATACGGCCCTAAGCTTATAGCACAGAGTCTCGAAATCCAGTTGGATTCGGGAGATCCGGCACGATAGGTGATAACACCAGATTTTGACCATTTTTATGGATCATTTTAATATTTTTTGCAGGTGTTTTTTTACACCACTTTCATATGTTTTCAAAGAATTTCTATGTTTTCAGGTTATAAAAGACTTTCATGTAATTTGGGAGAAAAATGTGAAAATTGAAACAAAAAGATTTGGATAATTCAAACCGTCAGAACTCTCAAGAAAAGACGAAGACCTTTTCATTGCCTGATCACCCCCAAAATTGGACAATTAAAAGAAGACTCAACCACCTTTCAAATGCAATTGGTTTGGAGACATTGCAACGGTTGGATCTCAAGATATTCTATTTGCCCCAGAGACATTTGAAGACGGCCAGCAAGCTACGAGACCGCAGCCAACAAGCCATTTACAACGGCTAGGGCTACGCGACCGCGGACAAGCACCCATCCACCATGGTCACACATCATGCGACCGCGGCCAGCCATCTCCGACTTAAGAAGCCCATATCTGAGCCCAAGTAATTTCCCAGCCTCAATTCTGAAACCCTAGATGCCCTAGAGTATTAAAGACTATAGATACTTGTCATTTAGGTCGTTTTTAGATATCTCTTCCATACTTTTTACAGAGACAAGTTTTCTTAACCATTTTAGCGATTTGTAGAGAAGATTTCTCAACCTTTAGTTCATCAATAGAGAAGCTTTCTTCTACCTCTTTTCTTTACTGCTTTTAATTGCTCATTAAAGCTAATGATAATGTCGACATCAGCAATGTCTGAGTAGATCCTGAGTTGGACATAGGGTTCCGAAAGGGGCTCTCATAATCGTAAAAGACATCTAGGTTTTTAGATTTGAGATTTTGATTTTATGTTCTTCGTTTATTCTTGTTCTTAATGCATGTATGCTTGATTGATCACCTCGTGTCTGATCTAGATAGTTAATTATTGTTGTGAAAGATTTCATTAAGTATCCGACCTAGAATGAAACAGGTGATTTTGCCATAGGAGTGGAAACTTACCTATGGGTGAGTCATGACGAGTCCTATACAAGTTCCTGCATTTTCTCCCTTCCAGGGCCAGAGTGGAAACCTACTGGTCAAGATTACGAGAGACAGTTGGTTATGATCATGACAGTACGTGACGTAGTCATACCGCCGTACTCTAGCTCTAAAACCCTAGATATTTTGATATCCAATAATCCCAATCTATATCCCTAGTTGTTAAAACCGATTATGATCCTCAAAGAGTTCCCGAAAGCCCAGCGTGTTTAATTACTGTTTACAACCAAATCAATTTATACTTGCTTTCTTAGATCTGCATGTTTACTTGCTTTTATTCGAAATTTTGTTTGTTTCATTTTGATTTCATACGATTCTTTACTTGGGTTTCTAGGATAGATTTATTTGTTTTCTTTCGTGTTAGTTTAAATTGTGACACACACCAACCTATTAAAAAGCAATTTAGTCTAGACATAAACTTAGAAACCATAGAAAAGTATTCGACACACAAATCCATGTGGATTCGATCCCTAAGTATTACAATTGATTAGCTGTGCACTTGCGGATTTTATTTTTATTTTTAGGGTAAAACTTGACACCCTCACCGCACATCACATCAATAAGCCACCTGTTCCCGGACTCCTCATGTCTGACAGCGCAAGCTACGCTGTCAGAAACAAGGAAGTTGGGAACTGAGTGGTCAGGAGGAGGAGAGGTCACATACTCTATGTCCTAGACTTAAGCTCGATAATTCGAAAGGGTAGGGATATAAGCTGAATGGCCCGCACAGGTACCCGGAGAGCAAAGACTTCCATCCCCGACAGCCCGGTCCTAGTATCGAGGGATCCGGGCCAGGTATGAGTGGTTCACTTGAGCGGGAATACTACTCAAATTTCCCTCCAATCGACAATACAAATATCCCTAGTCTGATTTGATTGCCCATTCCCATACAGGCCCACTAGAATGGCATTTAATGCGTTTCCCTACGTGTGTTAGGTGAAAGTGACTTTTCCCATGAGCTGATGACCCTCAGGGTCTCAGGTCTTTTGCAAGCTCATTGGTCCGGAGTTTTAAATTTATAAAACCTAATGTCTGAAAGTGCACAGATGTACGTTATAGGAATTAGGGTGTCAATCTACAGAGAAGATGTCTAATCCGCAAGGAAACACCAAACTGGGATAGTAAGCAAAGTCATAAACTCATGGGGGTTTTGGATTTTTGGTTACGGGAACTAAAACTAATCATAATCTAATATTTACGGGAAACTAAATGCAATGCATATGAGTTACTAGAGAATATCTAAAGGGTGTTCGACTCAAACTAGGGATCTAGACTCATAAGGGGCGACTTGGACTTCTCTGGTTTACTCTAATCGATTGGTTAAGCATCTTTCGATTAGCTTCCGGGCGATTCATCCTTATCTATTTCTGGGATCTACATGGAACTGGAATAGGCATATGTATGGCTAACCAACTCTCGTCATCTTAACCAACTAATCACTTAAATCTGACAATTAACTCCGTTGCTTAACCCTAAAAAAGCTAATTATATAAAAAAAGAGAAAGAACAATGGATCCAGGGAAGAATCCCATTCTCTGTTGCCTAACCCTAAAAAAACAAAGTTTGGTGGCTCAAAAACTCATTACAGGAGCACACACCCGATTAGGACTGCTAAGAAATGTATTTCTAGGTCCTAACGTCTTCCAGGTCTCATTTAGGGCTTCTCTGAAGAGAAATGACAAAATGGGCTTTGATGTTGGGCCTTGTGGCTCAGCATGTCCACCGCGGGTGAGAGTCCTTCAGCGCTGGTGAAATGTTTGTTTGCTGCGGATGAGACTCCTCTGGGACTGGTGAATATGGTCAACTTGCTCTTCATATAACATTTGATTGCACTATTGGATTGTCCTGATTGTCTCCTCTTGA